AGCCTTGAAGCTCGAAGTGAAGAGTCTCAAGGCGTGTCAGAGGGCTTCGCAACTTGAGGTGCAGGGGCTCAAGGAAGCAAAGGGGGCCTTGGAGCACGAGGTGGAGTACCTCAAGGCCGACATTAAGGAGAAGACCGAGATCTTCGACGAAGCTCTCGGGGAGGCGAAGGCCTAGGCCGTTATCGACTATGTCACGTCATCTAGATTTGACAACGTAATGTCGAAGGCCTACCATAGGGGGTTCAAGCTCGGTAGGTGGTGGATAAGGCGCGCATACCCTGATCTTGACATAAGTGCCTTCACCACCTATAATATTACAGACGACGACATGGCCCGTCAGGCCGCGGATGACCCAGATTCCGACGATGAGGGCGGCGACGAGGAGGCCGATACTACCGACCTGGCTGACACCCCCGAGGAGGCCCCCGAAGAGGCCCCGAGTAAGGCTGATAAGCCTTCTAAATAGTTGTGTGCTCCTTGTATTCCCCTTTTCTTGTTTCTTTGTATTTGGGATTTTGTAATGAAATCACATTTATGACCCAGATTTTGTAACGAAATCACATTTGTAATGAAATCAGATGTAATGAAATCACATTTCTTGTTTCTTTGTATTCTCCTTTGTGTGATTCACTTCTGCCAGAGTGTTTGCTTTATCTTAGTTGTTTAGTAAATTTAGTCCTTGAGGTGAGCGACCCTTTACCGCCGTCACCCCAAACTGTCTTCCTGCACTTAGTAGGGGTGATCATCAGGTTTTAGCGACGTACGCCGAGGTAGGCATAGTAAGGTGCGTGCCCGACCTACCTGCTTAGCTATTTAGGTTGGCGTTTACCTCTAGCCGCGTATACCGAGGTAGGCTAGGAGTCAGAAGGTCTGTTCTTGAGACGCTTTTGGTCTTTGGTGTGCTAAGCCTATCCTGGCGAGGCGGTAGAGTCATGTATAGCGCCGAGGTCTTCAGTTAACCTAGCGCGTTGACCCTTAGGCTGGAGGGAGTGAATCGTGGTCACACCAAACCGTTTTCCTGGAGTCTGCCCCTGTTGATGGGGTGACTGGACCTCGTGTTGTCGAGGTTGTCACTTGTTTGGAAAATTGGCCCTAAGGCTAGAAAGGAGTGACTCGTGGTTCACTCAGTTCGGTGGTTCACGGGTAATATAGTCTTAGGTTGACGATATTCCACGCCCGAGGTACTTGTTTCCCTTCTAGGGTTTCGAGTTCGTATGTTCCTTCCCTGAGTACTCGCTTTACTCGGTAGGGTCCTTCCCACTTCGGACCGAGCTTGCCAACACCGGGCTTAGGCACCATAACCTTGCGGAGAACCAGATCGCCAATGCAGAGAGTTCACTTTTTGACCTTGGCGTTGTAGTACCAAGCTATCCTTTGTTGGTAGGGCATGGTCCTGATGTACGGCCTCAGTGTTCTCTGATCTCGGGATTTGCCGGATGAAGTGTGAGCGGAAGTTGAGCAGAGTCTCTCTCACTTTGGTTAAGTATGCTACCATAGTCGGTTCGCGAGCTTCGTACTCACCCAGAACTTGATTTACCACGAGTTAGGAGTCACTGCAGACGACGATGTGCTTGGCTTTCACTTCCTTTGCAAGGTTCAGCCCGGCTAGCAACGCCTCGTATTCTGTTTCATTGTTGGATGCCACGAACTCAAAGCGTAGTGCATACTCCAACTTCACACCACTTGGTCCGTACAGAACGATCCCAGCCCCGCTGCCCTGTCGATTTGACGAGCCATCTATGTGAAGGATCTAGGGTTCATCATCCCAGTTCGGGCTTAGCCTAACTAGGAGAGATGCCGTGTTGGTTGCTACTTCACGGTGCTCGTGTTCAACCGGTCCAGGAACTCCGAGCTCTCTCGTACTGGGGGCCTCGTGTTCTACCGGCCTGGGGACTTCGGAGTTGAAGGTGCATTCTGCGATGAAATCTGCCAAGGCTTGGGCCTTGATAGCGGTTCGCGGTTTGTACTAGAGCTCGTACTCGCTGAGCTCGATGGCTCACTTTGTCAACCTTCCTGAGACCTTGGGCTTGAGCAAAACTTGCCTCAGAGGTTTATTGGTGAGGACAATGGTAGTGTGAGCTTGGAAGTATGGGCGGAGCTTTCGTGCTGCTATAACCAGTGCATAGGCTAACTTTTCTATCTCTGGGTACCTCGTCTCTGCTCCTTGCAGCACTTTACTAACATAATAGACAGGTCGTTGGACCCGATCTACTCTTATTAGTACTGAGCTTACCACCTCGTCACTCGCCGAGAGGTATAGCTCTAAAACATCACCCACTTCGGGAAGGGAGAGCTTCGGGCCCCTGGGAGAAATCGGGACCTTCTATACTTGGTGGGAGTCAAAATTACCCAAGCGTCGGTCCCGGGCGAGTTGCTTAACTCGCCAAGTGGCCAGCGTTGGACTCGGCGTGTTTCTCCCGTCGAGTTGCAGTCGTGTTGTCAAGCTGAGCTGTACACTGGGCCAGGTCATGTACACATGTCCCCAGGCTACGAGGTCGGGCCAAATCGCCCTTCATCAATAACCTTATCTGGATTGCTCACTGAAAGTACCTACTAGGTCTGGATTCCTCTTTTGCACGTGCCACTCGAGTTATATCTGCACCCCACATGAGCGTGTATTTGGAACATCTCCCTTACTTTTTATTGAGAGAAGTTATTGGACAATGGGGTCACTAAAACTTTGGAGGAGAAGCTTTGAGGCGCGTCTGAAGACATTGTCTTTAGAACATTATTTGCCCCCACTCAGTTCCCAGGATACAACAAAGCCTTGGGCGAGAATCTGCAACCAGCAAAGTTGAAGAGTCTCCGAAGAAACCTTCTATGAGACTGTAGCAGACTGGACTGAGAGAGAGAGAGAAAGTGAGTTTCGAAATTGTGTGTCTTTAGAGTCTGATTCATGCTTCTTAAATAGTTTGTGAAGAGTTACGAAGAAAAGGTAGGTGCTGGTTTAGAGAAGGCACCTTGAACAGTCACAATTTCAAACACTGTGACCGTTGATCTTATCAACGGTGATCAACGGTCAGCAACGCACCAAAACCAAAGCCACCATTCGCGAGCCATGCAGGTGCGAGCAAAGTGCGCCTCATTACGCCACACACACACACACGCATGCACGTGTGTTGCGTGGTATCAAACCCCCATACTCTCCTCTACTATTTCTAAGGAGTGTAAATCAGCTCCTATTAAAATATTGAAAACAAAACTTATAATTTTCCAATGTGGGACAAATTCAAAACTGGGTTTTGTAAGAGAAAAACTAATTTTTTTTAATCAAATGTGCAAGTGCAATTTCTCATGTAATTGACCAATCAAACCCATTAGATTTAATCTCTTATAAAATTAAAATCCAACAGATATTTTCAATAGACGGTTGTGATGTGCTGTGAGGGACCCGTACGGGCATGCTCTGCGAGGCGCAGATGTGATCTCACGCCACTCAACTAGTAGGATATAAAACGGGAAGGGCCAAACGAGATATTGTGCTTTGCCACGTTGGATTCATCCAGTTGTTGCAGGCCATTGAAATCAATAATTAATTTTATCCCTTTTCTTCTACTCCTCAGCCAAAAAAGTCAATAATTATACCCTTTTTTAACAAAACAAATAAGCAATGCACGTGAAAGAGAAAGGAGAAGATCAGAAGAGACAGCGGAGAGAGGAAAGTATATGAACTAAAGTTCCGGAGATGGCGTCTGGACGTGAGGCCAAAAGCAAGTATGGGCATAATATTACAAAGGTATGTACCATATATGTCACTATTGATATACTCTTTTAATATTTATTTCACAAGAAATATTGTAATTGACTAACTGAGAATAACAAACACAAGTCTTGAGTCAGCAGCACTGGCACATAATGCAACTAAACATACATGAGGCATGCAGAGAAAGGCCCAACCAAGCCCATCCGAGCCCAGCCCACTAGTTCTCTCGGTTGGAATGACTTTCTTCTCCTAGATGCTAGATCTCCCAATAGCAGCTGCCTTTTGCCACTTACTTGCAAATGGAACGAACTTCTGGGCCTTGGTCATGGCTTGGCTGGGCCTATGAAAAATGCGACATTGAGAGCAAGAGTGGTTCCCCGGTGATTATATGTATTTGCTGTGGTTTAGACACTGGTGAGATGGTAAACAATGATGGTGTTTAGTGACTTTCATAGAGAAATGCAAGGGTGATAATTAATATCACCCTTGTGTTGGACTGGTGCAGAATTATTGGTCTAAAGTATCTATTGAGTTGAATTGGACCTAGTCCATCCATAATGGATTTATATTGGATTAAGTCGGATTGAACCAATATCTGGTCCATTGATGAGAAGATAAGAATACAAGTGTCAATGGACTAGGTTTGGATTGGAACCGATCTAAGTTAAAACAAATTTAAACAAATTGGATGATTTAGACATTGAATTAGACTGGTTCAAAATGGTCCAAAATATTTATTAGATTGGACTGGACCTGGTCCATCTATCATGGACTCATATCAGACCGGATTGGATTGGATCAAATCTGATCTAATTGACACCCCCTATTTTCAGCCAAAGAAATCTTTCATACTCACTTTCAGCTTTGGGCTTCCTTACACAAGGTAGATCATGAGGTTTTTCAATTTCATTTTAAGTTGCAAAATCTTGTGGATTTTCACATTCAAGTCCACTTTTAACGGCTATATATAGTCTATATAATATATTACGGTATTGTGAGTTTATATTATTTGAGTTTGAGAGTTATAGTACCGTATATTACAGTATTAATGCACTATACGAGTATTCATTAATCCACTTGAGAGCGAGAAGGGAGAGAGCAGGAGACCAAGAATTATATTATGGTTGTCTATTCAGCTAAACTGGCTGATCCAAGGAGAGAGAGAGACCTATATTATATACAGTCTACTAATTGGCTAAATACGGCAAACTGCCAAAGCCAAACCAAAGCTTCATTTACCCTCAAAAATTAAATACAATTGGAAAAGAATTAATATTTTTTCTGGATTAAATGGTGATTAATTAATTTTACAATCCATGAACGAGTAGTTGCTGGTTGGTTTGACGATGGGCATGGGGAAGAGAAGAAGTAGAAGATACACAACATCGGCCAGCCATGGTGGACAAGAGCAAATCCTTCTCTAAACTGTCGATGAGACGACTCCCAAGAAAAGAAACAACGTACTCCATGAATACAGAATCACAAGGCAAGGTAATAGGCCCATTGCTCGGTAGCCCAAACTCCTCTTCAGACATTTTGAACAGCTCCACGACAATACTGTGGTTGAGATATTGCAGAGGAATCACAAACCGCTTCTTATCAATTGTGTACACCACGAAATGGCCTTTATCCGCCACTGCCGCGCCCCGGTGGCCGTGGCCGTGGCCGTGGGCTCTTGGTAAAGAGATTCTTAGACTCCCGGCGGCGGCTGCCTTCCGCCACCTCCTAGCCATCTCTACGAGCCTCTTGGGGTTGATCATGGCTTCTTATTTGAGACCTTGACTACTTAATTTGCTGATGATGAACAATGAGAAGCTTTGTGGGTTTTGTGTAGGGAGAGCAATTGAGGTGATTGCTTTATATATACTTGTGAAGGAAGAAAGCTGAAACCATAGTATTGAAGCATGGGATGCAAGGCCACATGGGTCGATTGGATAACAGATTTGGAAAATTGGAATGTTTGAAGGCCGTGGTCCACTACTGTTCGTTTCATCCCTTGTCGTTTGTTTCTATTGGTGTGCTATCAACTATGTGAGGAAATAGTTTATTCAGTGAACGTAACCATCCATCGCTGCCCCTTAATTTCTAGTTTCTACCGCTTCTGCGCTGACTAACATGAAAACTAACGATCTTCCATCGTCGATCTTGTTATACTCCGATCATGGCACTTCTTCAACGACCGCCCACGGATTTGGCTCGCTGATGTGTGGAGCCGACCCTGCTCCTCCCTTAGGCTCAATTTGGAAGGAGTATAAATACAAACATATAGAGTGCAAAATCTTGTATTTTATATTGTTTCGTATGTATTTGTGCCGTATATATTTTTGTGTTTGTACTTTATACTTTTACTGTCTTACCAAATTTTCATGTATGTATAAAAGTAAAACGTAAAGATGTAGAGTGGCCGCGGCAAAATAATGGATAATGAAAAAGATGTAGGAATTATGGAGACGTGAACCATATGAAAGACAAAGACCAGAGGTAGTGATGGTTCGTTGGATTTGGGAAGGTAGGACATAACTCATTACCCCATAACCCATGGGCATTCATGTGAATGTGATGTGACCACTTCATTCTTTGCACTTTGCTTGCTTCGCTATCCAACCTAGCTTTCTAGACGTCCAACTCCCGCCAAAACGCCCAAAACTCTGAAGCTCAGCCCAAAATTATATTGCTAAGTCGGTAATAAAGAGTAAGAACCATTACTTTTGGCCGGTTCTTTGCGCCTAAAGACTCAGTTTGGAAGGAGTATAAATACAAATATGTAGAATGTAAAACTTTACATTTTGTATTATTTTATATGTATTTATACTCCAACCTGATGTGTTTGTTTAAAACCTCATCCTTAATCCTAACCGATTTCCCACCCAAGATTTTAAATCTTAACCCAATCCAATTATTACTCAAGTCAGGTTGGGTTTTGGGTTGAAAGTTAAAATTAATGTTAGAAGGTTTCTGATGAGGAACGATTTGGCCCGTTGAATAATATGATGACACCTAGAGCGTTGATGTGATATAATGACACGTTAGTGACCTCGGATATCTAAGTAATTTAAGTCACCTCAGGCCATTTAATTAGACCGATGCCCGAGCAGCTCGCTACATCTATCGACTTACCAAGGTGCCACGTAGCCTCCTTCTAGAAGTAAGCCAATTGTCTCTGATTTCTTTGGGATCACAACGCACACCAATGGATCTTATCTTCACTCCGCTCGAATCGAACGAACCTGATAAGCCTTATCAGCTTACACAAAGTCCATCTTTGGGTGCGAAACTAACTCCAAACCAGACGGGTTGGTGATCCCGGGCACGCATCATGAGGCCCACGACAACTTGCCTGTATAAAGGCCTCACCCCCAACTTCACAAGGTGCGCGTGGTTTATCTCTCACATTCTCTTGGTTTCAAGCTATCAACTCTCTCAAAACCTCCATCACTAACTTAAGCATCAGAGTGACCACACTAGGTAAAGAACCCCTGAACACTCTGATTGTCTTGTCTTGCAATTCAACCCATCCACATCACTAGTCCGACGTTCGAGCTGTCCTCCAACAAGGAGCACTCAAATCATGCATCATCAATTGGTGTCGTCTATGAGAACATGCAACAAAAAGTCGTATTCTCACTCCCTTGCTATCTTTATTACTTCAATGGCTTCCTCAAGCAAAAAATAACTCGCCAACAACAACCAGGTCGTAGGGGGGCAAGACCAGCCCAGAGCACATCTTGAAGTCCACTCCATGACCATTGGGCAGTTCATAGTGCCCTTGACTCTGCCAAGTGCACCAGCAATGTCAAATCCTGCTTTCCCCCTACACCAAGTGAATGCACCTCTCCCACCAGTCGAGCCCTCTATGGTTCCTACTGGGATTGACATGCGCTAGTTCCACGAGTTGGTGCAATACGTTCAAGGCATGAATTTGTAGATGAGGACGTGGGAGGAGCGGTTTGCCGCCCTGGTAACACAGCAACCACCGTAGCACCAGCAACAACCCAACAACAACCAGAACCACTCTAGGAGAAGTCACCTCGCTCCCACCAACAATGAGGAGGCAGACAGAAAAGATGAAGTAAGCCAAGTCATCCCCCAACCAGCAATACAGCAGATGACCCGCACCTCTCCACTTGCACCTGATATCATTACGACCCCATGGCCTAAGGACTTCAAAGCCCCGAGACTAGAATCATATGACAGCACAACAAATCCAATCGACCACATCGATAGTTTCCAGTCCCTGATGTAGCTTCACAGGGCAAATGATGCAAGCCTTTGCATGGCCCCCGACGACTTTCTAGGGTACAGCTCGGATGTGGTACTTGGGACTGGCCACAGGCTCAATAAAAAGCTAGAACCAGTTCACATATCTTTTTACAACACACTTCGCCACTAGCAAGAGGTGCCCAGAATTAGCGACCTGCCTACTGAACGTGGACTAGCAACCAGATGAGACGCTCTAAGACTACATCGAGAGGTTCAACTTGGAGTGCCTCTAGATTCCGAACCTCAACCTAGCAGTCTAGCTCACCACAATGATCAATGGCGTTCACCACCTTGACTTGCACTAGGAAATTGAGTTGAACCCTCCTTCCTCTATGGAGGAGTTCCTCCACCATGCCGACAAGTTCACAAAGGCGGAAGAGGCGCTAGGATCCCAGTTAGAGCTAACTGGGAAGACGAAGCGAGCTGAAGAAGAAGTAGGAAGCAGTAAGCAATGGTGCAAGAGTAAGTCGCCAAAGAGAAGTTGGTCACCTCGCAACAGGCGAACCAAGTCGCCAAGAAGAAGAAGTAGGTCCCCCCATCGAAGTTCTAGATCAGGCCAGCATTCCAAAACCCCTCTAGTTCAAAACCGGAGTTACACCGCCCTAAATGCAAAGTGGGGCGAAATTTTGATGCAAATAAAGACGACCGAGTACGTGAGATGGCCACCCAGGATGAGAGGCCACCCAGGGTGAGATGGCCACCCATGACATGGAGAACTGCAGAAACTTGAAGGACGAGATCGAGGAGTTGATCCGTCGCAGCTACCTAAAGCAGTTCATCAAGCGCAACAACTGGAGCCGGCTTGTTGACTAGCCAAGAGAAGTGCTAGAGTCAAGCAGGAACCAGGATAGGGATCAAGATCATCCACCTTGGGATCCACCACCATCGGAGCGACCTATTTGTGGAGTGATCAACATGATCACTAGCAGTTCAATTGTGGTAGGATGAACCAGTGCAATGGGAAGAAACTCAGTTTAGGAGCTCGAGTACGAGGACGACGCCCCCGTTTTCAAGATGATAATCAACAACTTCGAGGTAAAGCGGATTCTGGTTAACTTTGGTAGCTCGACCGACATCCTCTTTTTGGATGCATTTGAGAATATGCAACTGGGGAGGAAAGATCTGCAGCCAACCGACATCCTACTTCAATAAAAGATAAGTAAATTTGCATCCAAGTGGGCTTTTGATAAAAAAAAAAAAAAAAATCATATGCTTTATTGGAATTCATGCTTGTATCCATTAGAGTTAAGAGTCTATTTGATAAGAAGGTAAATTTGTCAGTGCAAAACTAACCCGATTTTACAATTTATCTGAACCATTTTATACTACATATTTGCATTCACACTTAGTTACATCGTTTCTAAACACAACGTTAAAAATCAAAAATAAAAAACGCATTCTTTTTCATGATAAATCAAAAATAATTTCTCTTTGATTCAGAAAATACCCTGAATCCAACAAAAAGCTGCTTTTAAAAACAAAAACATACAAGGTTGACTTGGGATACTAATACGTACTAAAAAATCCTGTAGATATAAAGTTTGTTTTGAAGCTATCGTGGGGAACACCAACTCACATGTAAATAGGTCCAATAGTAAATTAAACATGCTTTTGGAACAAGATTTTTAAGAACATGCAACTTTTTAAAAAACGATCTAGGAGTGGAACCGTTCTGGCCACTAGTTTCCAGGTTGACGGTTCAATCATCTGATTGGAACAGATGGCCCGTTCTGATAAAAAAATAAAGAAATTAAAAAATAAAAAATGGTCAAAATCAATGAACAGTTCAACGGTTCGATCGCCTGGGTCAACAGGTTGTTGACTTTTTTAACGGCTTTTGACCAAATACCAGCTTTGGGGTAAAACGGAACTGGTTGCCTGGACGGTTCCCATGCCGAACGGTCTAATCATCCGGGCCAACGGCGGTTCGAAAACCTTGAGAACATGTTTTTAGTTTTACTTTTGAAAAGCAGAAAAACACTTTTTCATCTAGATGATTGGTCATTAAGCATATGACTTGTACCCAAATTCCTCTCAGTACATTATTTTGTTTTTTGGGATTTTGAGAGAGGGGAAAGTTGGTCAATGAGATTGTGAGTCAGTTATGTGGGGACCAGGAAAAGTTTATTTTCCTATGTATCACTTACCTTTTATGTGGGTAAATTAACTTTCCCATCTTGGGAAGTTGCCATTACTTGGATGGGACAAAAATGCCCATTTTGATTATGGAATTTTTATAGTTAGAATGGTCGTCATTATTTTATTTACCTGAAAAATAAAAGAATATGGATAAATGCACTTACCTAGGTTACCCAGATAAATAACTTACCGAAAAATAAATGGGGCCTAAGGAGCTCTATGAATGCAATTGCTATTGGCATATGCCAAGGGAACTATACGAAAACCTCTCTTATATAGGTGCCATATACCCTTATTGCTAACCGACTCGTTGCATATATCTATCACCAATCTGGGCAATGAGTTTCTTCTCCCGCTAACAATGGCTACTTTCTTCCACCTTCTTGTCATCTCTCTAAGCCGCCCCTTATGCTGC